TAAAAAAAAATTTTTTTTTTTTTTTTTTTTTTCTGAAATACTGTGTAGTGTATTTACATTTTTCTGCTACATAAATTCTGGTAAACAATTTTTCTGGTAAATATTCCTTTAAAAATAATGTTTTAATAATTTTATTAGTAGTAGTAGGACTATCATTACATTAAGAAATATATTTCAGTCACAGATTCTTCAAGTTTGCATATGATATGACGAGTTTTTCTCAAAAGAAACTAAAATGCTGATGAAGTGACTCTGAGCAGTTCTAGAGATGTTTATGTACTCATAAAATGAGGCGGCAGAGGCTGAAATCCCTGCGAGCGTCAGGCGTGCTTCAGTATGTGTAGTAAATGAAACAGTGCGTCTGCGCCATTCATAAACAGAGACAGGCAGAACATGCAGGATTCATATTTAAATCGACTTTTTGCGGCTTAATATTTACAGATACTAGTCCATATCATGATTTGATTTAAGTGTAATGACCTACGTTTGATTAATTCATTCAAAATTTGACTAATTCCGTGACATTCCGCGTTAAACTGTGAATTCTGTTTTTATGACATTAGGGGTGTAACGGTACACAAATATGACGGTTCGGTGCGTACCTCGGTTTTAACGTCACGGTTTCGGTACAGCAGGAGGAAAAACTAAAATCTTTTTTTTTTTTTTAATAAACAGTGGTTTACTGAACAAGTTGCTCTTTCTTTAAATACATTGTTATAATGAAACTTTTCTTAGTCATAAAAATCTACCTCAGCTTATACTTTAAACTATAGGGAGCCCTACATTATAAGGTTACAATTAACAACTTAACCCAAACTTAAATTTAACTACTATTTATTTTAAAATATAATAATCAACACTCACCTTAAAAAAAAAATAGTATGCAAACATGTAAATTGCACAAAACGCAGTTTTTAAATTAACTTATAAATTATAAAATTTCTATTTGTTAAAATATATTCAATTACAGTGGCTGTCATAACATTTTTCATAACAGATTAATTTAAACATACATTAAATAATTAAGACTAATAGGTAAAGTAAAATGTAATGAATATATAGTGTAATATTTCGCGAAATGCTCTTCTCAAGACTTGATTTCTCTAGTGAACTAACGATAATAATCAGAATATTTTAATAAATACAGTAATATATTTAAACAATATATTTCAGAACTGTATAAATTAAAGATTAATCTTTATTAAAGTTACAAAAGCTATTCAATCAGGAGCAGTGAGTGATTTCTTTGTTGTTGCTGTTTGATTAATATTAAGAAAGTGCTGTCACTTTAAGAGAATGCGCTGATCCAGTGCACTGATACAGTACGTTCAGCCGGCTATGTCTGCTATAGGATACTTACCAATACGGGCATTTTGACAATTTTTGTGTGAATTTGTCCATTTAAACACAATACTTCAGAGAAAGATTAATATTTGCACGAGTTCTGAGGCGCGGGGTTTGCGGGATGGGTTGAGCGCACGCACAAATCTTCTCACTGCGCGCGCGAGCTCGTGTCCTCTGGGTCTTACATGTTTAAACTGGCAAAGCTTAAACGAGTTTAGCTTAAACACAGATATCAACGTGTGCTGTTCAGATCTCACCTGTGAGCGCGTGCTATCAGCACCCGGTGATGACGGAATAACTGCTCATATTCCAGCATACGGCATTCGCATTGAACAAGAGTGAATGGTTTGTCCACAATTCTTTTGCATCGCTGTTGTTGTAATGTATTGGAAGCCAGAATGCGCATCCATCAACAGAAACGGATGACATTATTTTAAAATGTATTAAATACAATATTTGTATTTATTAAAATGACTAATAACTTAAAAAGTGTATTAAAAATAAGAACATTATTCAGTGTAGATTCGAGCTCAACATCAAACATTCAAAAAAAAAAAAGAAAAAAAAGAAAAAAAAAACCTCAAGTCGACCACTAACTACCATTTCACCAACCAGCAGTCAAAGTGAAAGCAGTACCCACCCGCTCGTCATTAGACGCGTTCTCCGGGTCGTCCTTCCCTTCATCAGGCAGAGGCATTCTGGACAGGGTCAGGCCGTTGAGAGACGCCATCTTCAGGGGACCCACCTTCTTGACCTCGGAGCGTCCTTTCTTCATACCCTTCATAACCAGAGCGAGCGATGGAGAGAGACAAAGAGAAAAACAGAGTCTGAGGATCGGCGTCTTGAGACGGTGGAGAAGAGCAGCAGAATGCAGCTGTTCGGGTCTGACAGCCTGTTGAGCGGCATTCTTCACATCACACGTATAAAGTCAAGTGTTCAGCCTCACCCCAGCATACAAACACCTACTCGACGTGCAGAAGAAACAAAAATAAAAGCCACACCAGCTGGATGATGTGCAATCAAAAATCAGTTTGCATTTCCTTTAACAACTGAGCCGTACTGTTCATTTCTATATCTGTGAACAAGTTCTCTGTAACTTATTAATACAACATTCTGCTAAACATCTTTTTTTTATGCTCCACAAGTTAAAGTTATAATAACTTTAAGTTAAGTTATAATAACTGGGGAGAACAAACTTTGATTTACTGCATTAATACCAAAACTCAAATTACTACAGACCAGACAGGTGACAGGAATCAGTGTTATTTTAGTATTATTTTAATAATATTATAATTATTCATATTTAATAATAATATTATTATAATTATTTTTTTAATTTTAAAGTTAGTAAATTTGTGTTTTTGTCATATATATATATATATATATATATATATATATATATGTGTGCTGCCAAACGATTAATCGCATCCAAAACAACATTTTTTTACGTAATGTGTGTACAACACTGTGTATATTTATTATGTATATATTAATACACACACATGCAAGTATATATTTAAGAGAACTGTGTTATGTTTATATACTAAATATATTTACATATAATATACATTATATGAATATAAATATATACATGTAAATATTTTCAATATATATACTGTATATGTGTGTATTTATATATACATAATAAATATACACAGTACACACACATATATTATGTAAACAAAAAAACTCCCCTTGCTGGGTTGCATCGAAAGATGATGATCTTGTATCGACGATAGCCAGAGATATTGTCAAAAACATCAATTATTAACAATATTAAGAGGATTTGGCATTTCCAATTAATGTAGGCTTGTTACATTCTTATTTTTATTAGGCCTATTATGAAGTTACTTTTATTAAATTAAAATTACAATTAATTTGCCCTGCAATAATTACCACATAACTGACACGCTGCAAGGATAAAAAAAGGATTAGGCTATTTACTCTTAATTAAAATGTTTTAAAACAGGTCTATTATGCAATTAATTATAGGTAGGCCTATAATTGAAATATTAACACTGCAGTCATCAATAAAAGTCAATGAAATAAAAAGCTTTATTTCAAGCACAGACTTTCAAAAACCTTTTTAACACGAAATACGTTTCTTCTCATTTTTTTCCCCACTATGTAGGCTACAGGCCACAAGAGAAATATTAAGGAATTAAATTGAAACGGTTAGCTATATACAGTCAGTGTTTCCCACAGGTTTGAAATATACTTGCGGTGGTAGCTGGGTGGAAAATCCTCCTATTACCCACGGCACAAAAATGGTCTACTACATGTGACAAATAACAAATAATGTGTGATTTTTAACAATATTTGTTATTTAGGCCTATTGAAATTCATTTAAATTATATAGGCTACTATTACATTTAATTACATACTCATATTATGCATTGTAAATTATGCAAAATTACAGCATTTAAATGGTAGAGTTCTCCTTGCTTTTTCATGTAGTGTCTCTCTCAGTGAATGGGTAAAATCTATATATTGAATAATATGCATCAAATAATGTTTTTTGACTTTTCTTCCTGTGGGGAAACCTCCCAGCCAGAAACTACAATAGTTTCCTATGAATTAAATGGATTTTAAATTAAATACAATTTATTGTGTAAAAAAAAAAAATATATAATAATAATTTGTGATTTTTAATTATAAACAAGTCTGAAATACACCTGGACTCTTATTTTGAAATGTCTATACTATTGTGGGAATCACTTTGAAACAGTCTGAAGCGCCACCTTGTGACACTGCAACGTGTATGGGCTTACATCTCTGCCACAATTCTGTGCGCGAAATATCATATTTTGAGCGCGCAAAAGTAAGTTTTGCACGCGCGCAAACTGAGTTTTGTGGAGAAAATGTTTGTCTCGCAAAGAAGAAAGTATTTTGAGCGTGCGGAAATCAATTTTGCATTTAAAATATGTTTTTGACTCCCAAAATTTACTGCCAGATTCTGGAAGATAAATTCTTCAAACAATGATTTTTCCATCATTTTAGAATTTATTTAATAAACATATTTATTATAATAATTTTATTTTACACTACAGATTACAATATTCATGTCTAATTGTCTTATTTTTTTTTTCAGTTTTTCAGTATTTTTCATGATTCGGATTCAATTCTGATCTTTAAGAGAACTTATTAATCTTTTAAATTAAAGAGCTTTATTTTGACTTTGTAGCTGGACTTTAAAGTGGACTCAAAGCTTTAAAATAATAATAATAATTATTATTATTTAAAATATGTATAAAAAACGATGAATACATATTACTTTTGCAAATTACAATTCTACAGTTTAATATAAAATAATTTTATAATTATTTTATTTAATAAAAAGTATTTATAATAATGTTATTTTACACGTACAATACAGTATAATAATTTTACACTTCCAATAATATTTATGTCTTTATATTTTTCAAACGTTCAAACTCTCAAGCTTTTAACATTATGTGAATGTGCAAATACACCTAAACCTATTGTATGTTGCATTCCCAAATGCACATCTAACTGATTCTGATCCAGTTCTGATTTTCAGCTGAACTTACCGCCGGTGGAAGACCATCGATATTCCTTCTGGCAGGTGGCACGTCAGAGACGGGTCTCTTAAAGACATCTCTCTTCTGTCTCAAGCGTCCCTGTCCGCTCAGATCGCCTTCTGACACCGAGGGCACCATGTGTCCGGGCTCTCGCAGAGGCGGCAGCTGCCCCAGGTCCTCTGGATTGCAGATGATGGGATGGGACTGGTACGCCAGAGGGCCTGTCAGGACTGTCTCCATACCGTGGCTGAAGGGATAAGCGGGCGGATCTACGAGGGGCCGTCCCATCGGCGTCATGTGATGCTCGGGCCCACCCACTGCATCCTGAGACTGGGGTGTGTGTCGGCCGCTGTCGTCTTCGAACTCTTCCTCCTCACCGCTGCTATGCACCAGCATCGTGGCGTCAGACAGGGATTTTTTGTGGCCGTAGATGACATCCTCGGGCTTCGTAACCTCCAGGACGACGTTAATGTCGGAGCCGGATGCTGTAGGCGGCATCGCCTGGGCAACAGGGGGTGGGGTCTCAGCCGCGGATGCGGATACCTGGGTAGTTGATGTAGAAATGTCAATAAATAAAAAATAAATAAATAAACTTTCTTAAAAATAGTCATTTTTAATCTTAGATTATTGCTAATAATTATGTAAGAATTAATTACATAATTATAAGCATTCTTAATTATATATATTAGGGATGTGCTGATACGAGTATCGGTACCGAACGGTTCACGAGGCAAATTCCAAATGGAAGTGATCATCCCTATCCCCTTAGAGTGGGGACTTTGGAGTGAGCAGGGCACATGCGTGCCATTATGTAGTCGTTTGGAATGCACTTGGCAAAGCAAGCGAATTAATTTCCTCATTATCTTCAGCTGGCATGTTCCCGTGACAACGCAGCACGGTGTCCGTCAGCAGATGTCGCTGTTTTACTGTCATAAATATATTTTTATTGTTGTTAGCATAACTGTTATAAATAAACATACATTTTATATTTTTAAAAGTTTTTAAAATATGCTATATAATACATCAAAACGAATATATATAAAACTTTTTAAAATATAAAATGTATATTTTTTTTATGCCGGTGTCCATCAGCGAATCTGCTGACGGTTAAATGCATTCATGTCCTGCACTAAACAGTAGTGTGTAAATACCTCTAAATGCCACTTCAGACGCAGCTTCTGTGTTTCCTCTGCATTGCAAAGATGAATTTTGTTGATACTGATTTCATTTGCTTGGTAACAGCCCAAATATCTTATTATTCTAATTAGCTGATTAAATGTAAGAATTTGACTCAAAAGATAATGCACACTTTTAGAAAAATGGCTTTATAAAGGTAAAAATGCCCATAAAAGGTAAAAAAAATCAATTTAAACTGATTGGAAAAACTTAATTTCTATCAGCGTGAACTGGCCACCACACAGAATATGAAGATGTCAAAAACTTTAGGAGCCCTTAAAGTCCTTAAAACTCCATGGTAGGGATGTAACGATTCACTCAACTCATGATTCGATTCATGATTTTGGTTTCACTATTCGATTTTCTCACGATTTGTTTTTACAAAAAGAGATTGAAGACATTATACAGTAAATGAGAAGGTGTCTATTGCTGCACGTTTCTTTGTGAAATTTAAATACAACAAAACTAAATTGAAATTTTTAAAACAAACCCCAAATCAAATAAGCAAGTTACACAAATAAACTAAATCTCTTCATATAAACAAACTAAGGCTTTGTCTGTGCTCTTTGGGCCGGCTGTAGGCGTAAGAGTTGCCGATGTTGAGGTTCCTCATGGAGTGGCTCTGGCGCTCGGCCGGCGGGATCATCCCGAGGTTCTTCTGCCTCATGACCGTCTCGTAATCGGGCGTGGCACGGTAGGATGGCGGGATCAGGGCACTGTGCCGGTGGGAAGGCACGTAGTCGGGCCGCATGAGGTCACTTCCTGTGATGCTGGGGTTGGACGACATGGGCGACGGCTGCAGGTAGTGCTGCGGGTTGTTGAGGGAGCTGGTGCTCTGGGCGCTGTAAACGCTGCCGTTACGGATCCGGCCGTTGTACTCGTGCGGAGAGCGGTCCAGACTGGTCTGGGAATGGTAGTAGAAACCATTCTGGTTGTTGATGTAAAGATTATCTGTAGGAAATTCAAGAGAGGTGCGTCAGTTCTTGCTTATTATTTTTGTCTTGTTTACAAATATCTACATTTTCATTTTCCAGTACAAATATCGAAACTTTCTTTAAATCAAGATTATGGCTGGGCGATAATTCGATAACGATAATTATCGCGATATAATTTTCCTCAATAAAACAATATGAAGAGTTCGATAAATGTTCGATATAACGTTTATGCGGCAAAAGCGGAACGAAACAGCACGACTCATTTGAATCGTGCCACACGGAAATTTTATCCGCTCGGACCAATGTTCAAAACGTCCGCGCGGCACGAGCTCACTAGAGCAGATGCGTTTACTCGCTCACGCAAGCTCTAAGCAGCGCTGTGAGATCCAGTGTGAAGCGCTTGAACTCAGTGATGAACACAAATGACTCGGTGATTTAAACTAGTTTAAAGCCAAACAGTAGAAGCACTGTGTGCAATGAACGAGACAGTCAGAAGGCTTTTCAAACTACACATCGCCATCATTTACCATGGATTTACTGTAGTAACACTCACTGCACCATGGTATTGTGGCACAAATGTGGGATATTCACATTCAATTTTATTACAGGAGTAATGGTATATAATTATAGTATGTATTTGTGATTAAGCTATAGCATGTGTGCATTTATCCTGAATGTTTTTAGACTGATGTTTTTCATACAGGCTACCTACAAACCATATAGTTATATTTTTACCATGGTATTGAGGTGCTATATGTTTGGTTTTAACTGTTTATCATGATTTAAATTTATGCTACTATGGAAGACCAATGCTTAATAATAAAAAAAAAAAAATGGTCAGAATAAATGTAACCATATAAAACTGAGGTTGCTACAATTTGTACAGATGTTACTGATTTTGATAATGAACAAAAATGTACCTCTGCATCCTAACTCAAGCTACTATCAAATGTGCATTTCTAAGAGGAAAAAAAAGTGATATTATTATTATTAATATTATCAGGCAACCCAAACCTGTTTCTTGATTTGAAACAATATCACTCATTAGAACACGCAGAAACTAAGAAATTAAATTTTCTATTTAGATATTTATTTTAAGGAAAATTAATGGTCTGGTTTCTACAACTTTCACTGTGGAGCAAAAATCTGGCTTTAAACTTGAAAGAAATAAAGATTTGACATTTATCGTGATAATTATCGATATCGACTGATATGTAAAAAATTATTGTGATCATTTTTTTGGCCATATTGCCCAGCCCTAATCAAGATACATTAACTTGAGAAGCAAAATCACAGTCATTGCAAGTCAGCATCATTATGATGCAAAAATATTGTAAAGTTTAATATTCATAGGTTTTTGATTTACTGACTACAATTTCTTAAATTTAAATAAAAATATAAATAAAATAAAACAAATAAAATAAAATACAAGAATGCTTAGTATTTTTGTCAGTACAAACTTAAAATCTGGATAAATTAACTTAAGAAAATTCCATAGGTTATTTTCACAAAAACTGATTTCTTTTTCACTCACACTGTCTATATTTTAAAGGGGTGGTTCACAGTTTTTTTTCTAGGCTTGATTGTGTTTATGGGGTGCAGTCTAACATGTGTTAATGCTTTGTTTTTTAAAAAATCCATTATTTTTCACATAATTTACCTTTATTCCACACCACTCTGTCCCTTCTCTGAGAAACAGGCTGATCATTTCCTTCTTGTATGAAGCCCCTCCCTCAGAAATAGGCGATGGGCTCTGATTGGTTAGCTAGCCCAGTGTGTTGTGATTGGCTAAACCGCCTGTAGTGTGCGTCTAATGGCGCTTTTCCACTGCATGGTATGGCTCACTTTTTGGGGGTTTTCCACTGGGTACAGTACCTGGTACTTTTTTTAGTTGTCTGTTGCGGAAGAACAGACGTTCCTCTCGTTGATAGCAGAGGAGTGGATCCAGCGAGAGCTTGACGGGGCGACGCGGAATGAAAACGTTTTCTTTAGGAGTCGTGGCAGTATAGGCGGCGCAACTATAATGACATGTGAATAATCGCACCTCTAGTTTTCTCTTCCTCTTCTCTAAAGCAGCGCAGCATGGCCTCGAGGGTGGGGTTTATCTGGGTTTGTTACGTCACGAACCCGGGAAGTAACTCATTGTAGTCCCTACCAGCCATTTTTGTAGGCATTAAACTGCCAGAATTTTCAAAGACAATATCTCTGTTTGCATTGAACTTTCAGCTTTGTAACTTTGCAGATATTGTTTATGCTCAAACAGCAACATTAGACACTAACGTTAAAAAAGTGAAATCGCAATCAACCACCCCTTTAACTTAAATATTTATAAATGATTGCAGTATTTGATTTACTTTTTTTATTATAATTTACCTTTATTATTATTATTTATTATAATTTAATTACAAAATAATAAATAAAATAAAATACAAGAATGATTTTCTCATCATATTTGTCTTCTTTTCCAGTACAATTCCATTAAACATTTTTTTTTAATCAAGATAAATTCATTTGCATAGTATTTGACTTTGTCTATTGACAATTTGTCTGTAACTCATCTTGATTTAAAAAAATGAATAAATAATAAACAATAATGACTTTTTTTTTGTATTTTTGTACAAATATATAATAACTCTTAAATCATGATACATTGAGAAGACTTCATATCTTAAGTTATTTTGCTTTTTAAATAAATGTATGTTGATTTAAGAATGTTTAGATATTATATTAAGTCTTTTTTTCTGTAAAGTTCTAAAAAGGTCTGAAGTAAATTTTTCTAACCACACTGAAAGATTTGTTTCTCACTAAATTCTGTCATTTTGTTTTATCTTGATTTAAGAATGTTTAGAAGCAAAATACTAAAGAAAATCATATTGTGCAGTTTTGGCCCGTTACTGATGGGAGATGTCCTACCTTGTGAAGACGTGTACGGTTCGGTGTAATGGCCGTTAAAATGCATCTGAGGTGGCATCATGTAGGGTTGCGGTTTTGGCTGCATCATAAGACAAAACAAAAGCAGCATTATTCAGCTAGACATATTAACTCTGTCCCAAACCTGGAGAGCTGCCCATCTAGACTTTGTATTTGAAGTTATACAAGTGCACACACAACATCAAACATTAGTTCAAAGATAGAAAGCATTAAAAGTCCAATTAAAAGCTTTTTTGTTTTATGTTTTTTATGCTTATCATGACATTTATAAGGTTACATTTTAGTTAGGATGCTGCCTTAAAAGGGAGCTGCCTAGTATGTAGAGAGCAAGGTTTTGGAACAGAGCTACAGTAAATCACATCAAAAACAAATGAGATCATGCAGAGCCGACAAACTCCAGAAACGTACTACAGAACAAGCTCCATAGCAAAACTGTTGTATAGTCATTGAATAACTGGCATAATGCTGACCAGAGACATTCTCGTCGAGGACCGTCGCCTCACTGTGTTTACAGGAGCGGGCTGCGTTTGTCTGTAATAAAACACAAAACAATAAAACACAACTGTGAAATAAACCAGAGAGTAATAAAGGTCAATGTTTTATTCGTCACATGCATTGTGATACTACAGTACAAAGTCAGCGGTTTGCATTTTGCACTGCATTCACATTTTCATGACAACTCACAGACACATTC